GTCCCAACAAAAATATAACTGCGACAAGATTGGAGAGTTCATCCCTATCATTTTTGATTGTTGCTTTGAATGGGATTGAAGATGGATGAAGATGGATGAAGATGGTAAGACCACCAAATGGTCCATTTTTATAGGTGGTATGTGTATGTATATATACATATATATATATGTGTGTGTGTGTGGTGGTAGAAACCATCAATCCATATTTGTGGTTCATGACGCTCCAGGTGCCAGAAAGCCCAGCCCATCTCTGCCGGTCACCGAGAAGTGTCCCGCGCCTGGAAAATGAGGCCTTTCTTAAAAAAAAAAAACAGCAAAGATATGGAGAAAAATGTAGAATAACAATGAATACAATGATAACATATGATAACATATGATAACAGCTCCGTTGCCTGAGGAATTGGATTGGAATTGGTTTGAGGATTTTGCCTGCATTGATCGCTGCAGTTGAGGCTCCGGGTCAGAGAAGGCGTCGCCGGCGAAAGCCTCCAAAGGCCGAGCGTATCATCACATGATGGATCATTATGGGGCATTGGTTGTAGCATCCATTCCGACATCATCTAAGCATCCGAAAAATCTCTTAGCGACTCAGATAATTGGATGAATCACCTCAAATCATTCCAGTTTTTTTTTTCTATTGTGTTTTTGAGGGCCCTATCCCACATCAAACCCGGCAACCGGAGCAATGAATCGTCCGCAGATTCGGAGTCTGACAAAGAGTCATCAGCTCCAAAAAAGAAAAAAACCAGTGCGGAGGCCAAAACTGAAAGGAACACTGGTAATATCTGGTAATCTAACCTGGCAATGGAAATGCACTCCGTTCAATAGGTAGTTTTAGGTAGCTCATCTAGAAATTGGTGATTTCAATTCCAGGCCATGTTTGATTACTGGATGGTACATTTTATTTGTGGCGGACTGCTTGGCTGCTATCATGGATGGCACTTGATGACGGAAGTTGTTGTTTTTATCTTCCCAGAGGCTTCAATGTTCCCTCGCAGCGGAACTCTAAAACCAGAGGCTTCCTGTTTTTGGGAGGCCTGCTTTTCTTGATCCCCTTTCGAAACACAAAACTGAGTTCCCCAAACCAACCCTGTCTTCGCAGTCTGTCCATATGTGTCAATCCTTTTTGATGGTTCAACTTCACTAACCATCAACTATCTGATGTGTAACCCTACCATTTGCCATAGTAACCATAGTACATTAGTTTTACCCTCTGGTAAGTTAACATAGCTATTGGAAATTGCCATTTATAGTGGATTTACCCATTAATAGCATAGTGATTTTCCATAGCTATGTTAGTTTACCAGAGGGTATCTATTGTCAAAAAGAATGGATGTCTAACAAAAACCTGCAGCTTCTGAACGATGACGATTTCCTAAAGAAATTTCACCAAGGCGCCCGGAGCAAGAAGAAAAACTCCACGGCTTCGGGTTGGGATTCCCCGGCGCTGTGGTTTTCCACCGAAGCACCAATAAAAGTGATGTTTAATTGACATCAATGGAGATTTATGGAGATTTATGGAGATATATAGATCATGAATGATCATGATATATCCTGCAAAAATAGGATGCAACTCGATGCAACTCGATGCAACTCGATGCAACGGGCTGGTGATTCAAGATGTTGGATCAAGGGTGCATCCCCATGTGGGGCCTAGCAAAATCACAAAGCCGGCGCAAGATTGCTGAGATCTCCTTGATAAAATGAGGGGTCATTGCTGGTGTGTTTGCTTCTAAAGTTCAAGCCCTAGCGCTGGTAACTTCATGTTGTTTCTCACCTGAAATGTGCTGTGATTGGAGGCTGCCAATCACCAGGTTTCTTAGTGAACCATCCAAGATGGTGATCAATTTCTGACAGAACCGGTGGATTGACAGAACGAGATCCCCATCATATGCTGGGTCAAAACCTATTACTCCCATTTTTGGGGGGATGAACATCCATTAACCAACTGTTCATTGTACCTAGGGTGCCAGGGTTTTGACCCATAACCATATATATTTAATATATATATATATAATATATATATATATAATATATATATATAATATATATATATATATAATATACAGTATATACATATATATCACTACCCACTGACCATCCCCGAATCGGATCTGACACTTGGATTGTGTCGGGGAGCTTCCTGACGTCCTGGATCTTGGCGCCAATCATCTCCCCAGGTTGGCTGATGAGAAAAAATCCCCATGGTTGAAATCTATCATTGACATTTCCTGCCAACCAGCTGGAGAGCTCATGAAACCTGGCAATGGAAAATTATCTAGTTGTATAAAGTTGTATATTAGGGTTTGTCTGAAAATAGGGTGCCTCTCTAAATCCATTGTTAAAAGAAAGCCATTTGGAAGGTATACCAGTTTACTCCATTTTGAGACACACCCATATGACATCAATCTTCCATGGATTCAGCTTGAAGATTGGCCCCTTGGTGGCCATCAGGTTCAGCCTCTGAGAAAGGCAGTGCATCGCCCTCAAGGCCCATTTTACCATGGAAAACCCCTTGATGTTTTGATGTTTTGTGTGGTCGTTGTCATCATGTTGATGATTTTAGGGTTGTGCGACCTATTTGCAAAGATCAACTTGAGTATATTTTACCCAAACGGGTCGAGAGGAAGATTGATCAAACATACAAGATGACAGTAAATATGAAAAAAAAAAGACGTTAGCAAACAAAACTTAAACATAAAAGATGATAGTACAACACAAAACCAACCCTCCGGTCATTTAACATAGCTATTGAAAATGGCTCATTTATAAATGGTTTACCTGTCGAAATGGTGATTTTCCATAGCTGTGAGATCCAGGCAAGGCTCTTCGAAGCGACCGACCAAGGATGGATTCCGACACGATATCCAGGGGGTAGAGTGATGTGGTGTAACCAAAGATGTTGGCCGTTGGTGGTTGATGTGTTAATTTGTGTACATACCATAGCTATCTATACACGGTGTGTATATATATATATGTGTGTGTGTATGTATATATATATATATATCTCTCTCTCTCTCTCTGTCGATCGATCTATCTATCTACCTACCTATCTATCTATCTGTCTATCTATCTAATCTAATCCAATCTAATCTCATCTAATCTAATCCAATCTAATCTCATGTAATCTAATCCAATCTAATCTCATCTAATCTAATCTAATCTAATCTAATCGAATCTATCTATCTATCTATCCATCCATCCATCCATCCATCTATATGCCAATGATTGGAATCCATGTGTGCATATATCTATGTGCAATCCCTTGGCGATTTGGTGTTTGGTTAGCTGCTTCTACGGATTACATTGAGTACATCATATTACATCATGTGGCATCTCAGTGAGTGGTGTCTGGGTTTTCGAAGCGGAGGAAAAGGACGCTGACTCAGAGTCTGCCAAGGAGTACCGGCCACAGAGGAACCCCAGAAAAGGCACAGAAATTCAGATCTGCCAATTGGAAATTGCCCTTTGGTCACCTGGTAGAAAATGCTGCATGTACTCAGCGTCTCCCTGAAATTACGGATGATTTACCAGGGGGTCAAACGTGAGAACGGACAAACTCATTTGGAGCGATGGCAACTTCCTTCAAAAACTGCACCAAGTTCCACCAGAATTGGAGCGATTTTTGGGATACCCTACCAAGCAGGCGAATGAAATATGAAGCCATTGCAATCAAGTAGCGAAGATTAGCGAAGGAGCCAGCACGTCCCAAATCCACTTATGTACAGGCCATAGTCATAGTTCAAAAGTTTGATTGCTCAGGCATTAAGAAAAGCACCACAAGACTAGCCATGGCCATGCTGTTGAAAATTCGTTAAGACCCCAAAAGGCAGCAGGCGTTTTCCACTGCAAAACTCAGAAATTTTAGGTCGGATCGCTCGCTGGAGTCTCAGAGCTGGGCAGTGGAAATTGGACAAGTGTGCCTTCAAAAATAAAATCAGGAGCGTTTAAGAAAAAATAAATATAGATTATATAAAATATAGAGTTCCTGGGAAATGACAAATAGATATGTCCGAGCAACCCAAATGTAACCTTCATTTTCCTGCCCCCAGGGCAGGACCGGGTAGGGATTGTGGGCCCAGATGATCGGCTTAGGAAGTCCAACCGGAAGAAAAGCCCGTCCGAGACCCCGGAGAGGTTCGTTTTCTTTCAACTTTTGTTGGGTTCAAGGTGAGATGGATAAATATCATATAAATGGCTATGGGTCAATACTTATAGATACATTTTTAGTGGGATGAACATCCATTTACCAGCTATTTTGGGGTTCACCAGGTACCAGGGTTTTGACCCATCCCCAAATAACTATAAATGTGTGATATGTTTAATTAACATAACATCGCCATTTAATCCACAACGGATGGTTGGAAGGTGATATCCCCCGCCAAGTGACATTGAAAATGGGTCTTTTCCCTGCCACTTTTAAAGGTGTGCCGAGCCATACAAGGCAAAACCGCCGGGTTGAGCAATTTGTCATGTCCCAAAAAGTTGGCTTGGGATTTGTATGTACCCTCTGGTAAACTAACATAGCTATGGAAAATTACCATCCTTAATAGGTAAATCAACTATAAATGGGCCATGTTCAATAGCTATGTTAAATTACCAGAGGGTAGGTGGATATGCCTTAAAAAAAAAAAACATCTCATGCAAGATCAATCCATCACATATCAACGTGATTTGCCAAGGCAGAGAAAGAAGTCTGCGGCATCGCCAAGGCCAACTGGTTCAACATGATTCAACTGGCACCACCAAAAACCCATGGTTCAGGTTCTTCAACAAACCAGAAACTTAAGAAGTCAGGCGTCGAATGAGTAAATTTGGGCATTGTTGGCCTTGAAACCCCTGAACTCCAGCTTTGTCACGTCCGCAGACGGCTCAAGTTTCAGGTTGGGAGTATGAATTTCTTTGGGTTTTTTTTCTAGTGATGTCAAGAAGGCAAGATGCTTAACGTATTTGTACCCCCAGTTGGTTAGACTACAAAGATTTTTATCGCCTGGTTTTTTGCCTGCCTTTTGTGGCCCTGCCGAAGCTGAGCCGTAGTTCAGTAGCATCGTGGTAACCATGTCGCGATTGCCAACCATCCCATCCTGTGAATCCGTTCACCTCCTTGCCGTGGAGAAGAACCAAAAGGGTTTTTTGTCGCCAGTAGGCATCGGGTATCACCGGGTTGTTGTTTGGTTGCCAAATCCGTGTCATGTAAAAAATATGTCAAACATCATGAAGCGTCATGAAACATCATGAAACAACCAATTTCTTGGGAGCGATGCCAAGTGTCTTTCCCAAAATGCCGCCTCAAGTTAGCTGCGTTGCAGGCACGGATGACGAATCTGAAGATGGCGAGACTGAGACAGAACCCGGTCGACCATACCGATCAGGGAGTGGATCATGGCACCGCCAACTAAGTCCATGTTCCGTCCGCTCGGCCGCCTCCTCTGGGCGCCTCTATGCTGAGCCTGCGCAGACTTTGATCTTTTTGGACTGGGACGACACCATTTTCCCATGCACCGAGATTTTTCAGAAGCGCCACTACAGCCGAAAGACCCGGGAGTGGACGCAGTGCCTTGTCTCAGCTTTAGCTGCCTTAGCCTTAGCTGCCTTGGCCGCGGGTGAAGTCACTTTTAGAAATGCACTGGAAAAAGTTCAGTTGGATGTTTTGTTCCGAAGGAAATCGATGTTCTACATTTGGAGTTCATGTGTTTGCTTGAATTATTGGTGAAGTGAACCATAGTGAACGATTCGCAGATAAGTTCAACCTGCCAGTTACGGAATGTGAACATCTTTGAACCACCAAAGCGACGACCTTCGGGCGTTTTCTCCATGTCTTCAACGTTCATTTTGGTGCCCCCAAACTCCCTCCATCACAGGAAATGTCAGCAGATGTCAGCAGTTGTTTCTTGTTTTCACGGTGCTTCAGGTTGTTCAGCCATCACATGCCATGTCCCTTTTTACCAGGTTTCGCCATGTTTCTAAACCATTAAAATCGATAATCCCAGTACTTAGATGCGTTTCCAAGGTTCGTGCTTTCAACCTTTTGAACCAGCTTCAGCCAATCCAATGTTTATCCAATGTCACCCTATGATCTTCATTTTCCAGTGAATTGGGATGGTTTTTAAGGTTTTTCCCACCTTTCCCATGCTTTGTCCCATGGATCATATGGATCCAGTGGAGGCTGCCAGTGGAGCTGGAGGAGGACCTCAGCGAGTGGCGCGACGCGGCGGCGGAGTTCCTCCGCGCCGCCTGTGGCGTCAGCGACCGCTGCGTCATCGTGACGAATTCGAAGCCGCCCTGGGCGCCTCGGATGGGACGTGGCAGGCGGTAGCATGGGGGGATGGTCGAAGGCTTAGTCATTGGTGAAATCTATGGCATCTAAGGTGAATGACTGGAAATTTTCAGGATTCAGCATTGATATCAATGGTATGAAGAGAGGTTTATGATGGTTACTGGAGGTTACTGGTGAATCTATAGCATCTATATGGATCATTGGTGAATCGAGTGAATCGATTGGGATGGGGACATAGAGATGGTGCCTTTCCATCGTAAGATAGCCCAGTTACCTGGGATGATCGATGGGAAAATTCCAAGAGAAATATCATCCCAATACAGTAACTCATAAGTTGGAAATAGCAATCCATTTGGATGAATTGGATGGGAAATTTTGGGATAAATGGATAAATGGGAAATCCCTGAACTAAATCGAGTTTTCGTTTTGGTTGGGAAAATGATCGAAAAACATGGGGGAATTGTCCAGCAAACCATGTGTGATTACGATGTCCTAAAATCCCAGTGGTTGAAGATTCCATACAACCAATAGGTAGATGATATTGATATTGGATAGATTATGATATATTACTTTCCAAACCATATAACATCATATAACCATATTACTATCACTATCGATTCATAAGATTGCCCTCCTAACCAAACCGGCCCCTCTCTAACATGGATTTATATTGGGGATGGTTATATTGGGGATGGTTATATTGGGGATGGGACCATGAACACCATGAGCCTATGTTTTTTTATCTATCAGCCCTTGTTGCAGGATGATGTGATGATGTTAATAATCAGCCAATTTAGTGATTGTAGATTTGTAGATTTGTAGATTCTATGTGAGATGTTTTCTGGAACAATATGGAACATGTGATGGTGAGCCTGGTGTGGTGTTGAAACATGGCAGATGTTGAGGGGATACCCTGCTGGATTCCATGGGAGGGTGGTGAAATCTCAGCAGATTCCGAAACACCAAGGTGATGGCCTGTGTGGAGCATTTCGCACCCAACTTGAAGCCTATTTTGCAAGATCGGCCGCAAAATTTGAGCATCGTCTATGGCTCTGAATTCATGAAGCCAAAGAAAAATGCCAGCGATTTGTGCAGTGAAAAAGCTGAAAATCTTATCATCAAATTTCTGCAGTCGCTTGGACCATTTGGGCAGTGTCATTTTGCCATCCACTAAACAGTCGGACTGTTTGTTGTTGTGAGATGTTCAAAGGGAAACTAATGAATTATGAGGTCGGTTGTAAGGTTGTAGGGTTTGCAATGACACCTTTTTACTTTTCTCAATCATATCCCTGTTTGCAGACACTGTTGTGTGTTGAAGCCAAGCTTTTTTTCGACGGCTCAGCATGCCATCATTGAATATCATTGAATCATCAAATCCGGAATCACATCCATCATCCAACATCAAACCATCCATATCTAATTAACACCCATCTTGGTTATGCTGGTTAATTGCTGATTAATTGCTGGTTAATTTGCCATCCACCATCCATCAAGATAGCACCAGCAGCACCCAGTGGACGCCTTAGGTCATCCTTGGGCGGATGCTTCTCGGATTTCACCGCGAAAGTGGTGGAATCCATGCAAGCGATGCGGCGCCATGCGCCGCGACCGCCCTTTGATTTGACGGAGGCCAAGCTGAAAGCCATGACCAGCGAAGCAGAAAACTTCTATTCGCAATATCAGGGGCAGCATCTTGGACTTGATATGACTTGATGATTTTGTGGATGATTCATGAATTGTGTGGATATTCCCAAAACGTGTATCTTTATGATGTTCGGTGATGTTTCGATGCTATTGTTTGATCTATTACAACAAAAAAAAAGAAACGCTAAAAATGGGGATGAGTTCTGTGGTTCAATTGAAACTGTACCCCCATACCCCAGGGGGGAATCTGATGGGCCATTGCAAATCCAAGGACATGGAAAAACATCATCAGCGACTTGGTTCTCATCGTGAACACCCTGGGGGGGGTTCATGGCGTTTTTTTGGGGGGATTTTTTGGCATTTATCAAGGATGTTAAGTTTATTCAGTTTGGTAAACTTTTAGTTGAGGTTGGTGACAAAAGCATGCCCTGCAGTTTTTCCGATTGATTTATGGTTTCAAATGGCTGTTGGCCAAAGCTGGTTCCAAGACACTATGGCCAAACTATATTAGAGTCTAGCAGCCCCAACCATCATTGCCAGATTCAGGCAGGGGCTCAGTGTTTTGGCAGTACCCCTCCTCATGCGACTGCAGATCAGATGCAGTCTTGTCCATGGATTGCCAGACGTTCGTCCATGAATGCATATGGCATATGTATGCTATATATATATGTATTCATGAGTGTGTCTGTGTGTATGTCTACGTATGTTTATCTATTCATTTCTTCTCACCTGTCATATGTCATCCATATTAATCCCCTCAAAAAATGGCTCAATTCAGGCCTCGGCGACATGGCCTACGAATACGAGGCGGTCAAGACGTTGACGGCCACCAGAGGTGTCTTTGCACAACTGGCAGCACCGCGGGAGAGGCTACGGACCAAGTCCGTTGTGCTGCTGCCATCGCCTTCTTTGCACCTTGGCAGCGCTGGAGGCTTCAGAAGGATGATGGGATGACCTATGCATGATGACCTGGTGGTGGCTGGTTCATATTCCTTACTTTCCATCCTTTATCATCCTTTCCATGCAAAGTGATACTTTGATGTTTTCCATTGGATCATCTGGGATCAAAGTGACCCAACTTGGTCCCTGGAAAAGGATCACTGTGCCGACCCTGTAAATCCTAAAATGCCCACTTGAAATGGTGACGTCAATACTTTCTGGTACCCCGTTCTGAAACATCTGAATGTTTCGAAAAAAGTTCTCAGAGATACCCTCTGGTAATTTAACAGCTATTGAAAATGACCATAGAAATTGTGGATTTTCCCATTAAAAATGGTGATTTTCCATAGTTTTTTGTAAACGTTTACCAGAGGGTAATCGCTCAGGCACGGATTGACCCTGCAACTGCGCATTTGGAGCCAAGTGCTTCCCTCCATCGCACGTTTCGATGGAGACGTCGACATCGACGTGAGCCAGAACTTCGCCCCCTTCCAGGAGCGTTCTGAACGTCTCATCACCGACATGACAAGGGGATAGGATGGGATAGGATGGGATAGGATGGGATAGGATGGGATAGGATGGGATAGGTATCCTTCAGTAGGTCTTCAACATGTTTTAACATGTTTCAAACCCTTCCAAAACACTAGCGGCTACTAGAGCGTTTTGTGTCAGGAGCTGGCACGAGCGTTGCAGCTGCCAACCTTGGCCAAGTTGCAGGTTCCACAGGTCTATCTTCAACCGATCTCGCAGCAATTCTTTGATGAAGATTTCATGAATGAGGAGGGAAGTCAGTCAGCAGCCAATGAGTTGTTGGATCAACTTCCAATCCTCTTGCATGATTCTTTCATATGTCCGCCCAAGGAAGGTTTTCAACATGTAGCTTAAAAGATGAAACAAGAAATAGATCTGAATATAACTGGCTGGTGGTTTTGAAGATTGATGTTTGTTGTGACCTGGCAGTTGTGCTTCAACGTGGCTTGACTTTCATATTATTGGTGGATGGCTCAACCACCAGCCAGACAAAGATCTTGAAGAATCGGTTCATGAATTCAGACATGGAACCGACCAAAAGTTCCGTTCAGCCGCCATCTTCAGCCTTGCCCATCTGTGACTGTTTCGACCCCGTGGCAGAAAAAGTTTGCCTCGCTGTAAGGAGAGGCTATGGGTCAAGGTCAAGGCTGAATTGACTATATTGATCCCCAAAGAATCCCAAAGATATTTCAGAGACATATAGAGACATTTTAGAGCAAAACATGGTATCCGGTATCACTTTTTTTGCGACCCATACCGTAGTTCGAATTCTGAACATTTTGGCTCAGGATTCAATGAAAAACCCAAGGCACGACCAGACGATCAAGCCTCCGAGCAGACAAACGTTGGTTGTTTTTCCCACAGCTGGGAGGATACCCTAGAAATTGCCATTGTTTCTTGGGGAAATTATGATCAACTACAGAATATTGGGGCAGCCTATGCTGAAACTGGGATCGCCACTTCGCTATCGGTCCCAGTGGTTATTGGTATATGGATCTATATGCTATCTCATCCCCAATATGTCATATGTGTTAGATTATATATATATATGTGTGTGTGTGATATGTTGATCGTAATGCATGGATATACATATTATATATATACAGTGAAATTACATGTAGCTTCCTTGGATTGAACAAACTATTCTAAACAGCTTCCAAGTGCAGCAACGACCATTGGATATATCCTCCATGACGCTGCGGCTGACGGCCACCCTACTGGAGCAGTGCTTCAATTCGAGAGATGACAGTGAGCCCTGGCAGGAAATCCAGTAGCCCTATAGGCCCTATGTGTTGATGTATGGGATTCCCACACCCATAGGCTTAATGTATACCTGCTTGGTGGTGACTGGAACCATGGAATTTTATGACTTTCCATATGTTGGGAATAATAACCCCAACTGACTAATATTTTTCAGAGGGGTGGCTCAACCACCAACCAGATATTAATGAATCATATGTTTGATTAATGATACTGCGATTGATCATTATCCCAATCATTAATCATTAAACCACGTATCATTAACCCATCATGTATACTAAAAATGCGACTATGGGTCAATAGGGATTCCCTTATGGGTCAGTGATACATTGGTTTGTGCTGGTGTTTTGGGGATTCTTATGCTGACCCATTATGGGAATCTCTATTAACCAAACAGCGGGACCAATCCGCAATAGCTTTGGGATATTGCTTACTTGAAGCCAGAATCTATACAAGTTGCAGTTCAGGAAGGGACCATGATATTCCCCATCAGGGGAAGAAATCCTAAATTTGATTTTCATAGGGAAAATTGAAACCCCACCCCGGGATAAAAACTAGGAAAAACCAACCCTTCGGGCCGGGACTTTGATGGAGGGAATGCTTTTTGGATGGATTTTGGGATGAACATCGAAACTTGCCAGTATCATTGTAATTTAATATCATAGTATCATGATGACTTTTATGATATATCATGACTTGGTATTAAAGTACATTTATAGTACATGATAACGAAAAATGGACCGCCTGATGGCATCAGAACTCAGTAAAAAAAAACTGAGGACCTGGAGATATTTCTGAAGGATGCTTCGGTGCCTTGCCATCAGCACTTGCTTCAAGCGAGGCGCTTCGCCCAAGCCGTTGGATCAATGCCCATGCTAATGCATCCAATGTTCGATGGTTTTTCGCGTCCGATTTTTTGGGCGTACCAATTTTGAGGCCAGCCATGGCCAAACATCATCAAACATCCATAGCTGCCATCGCTAAGCTCCCAAGATTCATCCGCCAGGTGTCCTGCGCTGGATACCACTGCATTGAATCTCCCGGAGAATCCAAGCGCACCTGGGAAGCAATGGGTCGCTCCGATGTTTCAAGTCGTAACCCGTAATAGTCATTTTAGTCATTTGATTTTGATAGTCATAGCCCATCACAATCATAGAATCATAGCCCTACAGAGTTGTTTCTTATGTTGAGATGTTTGTTTCGTGGAAAACCCATTGGCTTTTGGGGATCCTGGGACAGTCAAATCATAACGTCGGATTGGAGCCGATCGACTTCTGGCACTGTGCAGGGTGATACCCTCTGCTAGAATCTAGTCTATTCTAATCTGACAATGGAACAATGTCATAGAAAATGCATATCATAGCGTATCCATTATCCATGTGCATGTGTTGTTCACCATGAAGCATGATGAAAAATGATCTGCTTTCCTATGAGATGAGCCAACCTGAGCCTTGAGATCCAAGGTGGTGGATGAATTGCTGCGTTGGGTCTATACGGGGAAGATGGCATTGCCGCTGGAGGTGCCGCTGGAAGACATGCCAAATTGCCAATGATATAATTGTTGTGTATCGTTGGTTTTATATCTATCTATTTATGTCTATTTATCATGTTTTATCATTATTTATTTGTTTGTCTGTCTATCTATTTGTTTATTGGGTCCCATTCAAAATGGCCCTGGAATGGTTCCTGGGCTGGTTTATTATTGGGCGTATATCATCAGTAAGATAGTTTGGACTTGACGCAGTACTGTTTGTGACCTCGCAGTCTGGAAAGATTGGGGAGACTTTTTTGGAATGCGTTGCATTCTGTGAAGTTTGAGTTCATAAAATGAACTAGTTGGATTAACCGTAAGCCATTGGAGGATGATTGTGAACTCATGCACAGCAGCACAAGGAGTTGGTCCGACACAGTCTTCGCGATAGATTTTACATGCTGGAAATGTCTGGGAAGAAAACAGTCCAGAAAGATTGAACTCTTAGACCATGGTGACCTTCTTTGCTTAAGTATATGGTGATATTGCCAACTAGAGGCCCACTCTCCATTGGTATCATGGTTCTATTCCTACCATATCTACCATGACCCGTTTGGTCTCGTCTATGTGGTATGCCCCAAGAAAAGCTTCAAAACACTTTTAAAATGTGCAGGTGGCCTTCCAAATATCAATTTATATCAAATTTACCTTTCCAAACCATCCAGTGCAGATGGCACCATCTTGCACCATCCATGTCTCGGAGTAGGCTGTTGGTGGGGATCGGATTGCACAGCTCGCCGAAATGTGGGGATTGCGCGACTTGCATGCCATGCTGCTCGGTTTGACGGGTGGCGCGCAAACTGGTGCATACCAAATGGGATGGTTTAACGGAGTTTGGGATGATACTAGTTACTAAGAGTGGTTGAAACTGTTGAAATGGTTGAACCCCCTTGAAATTGAATTAGTTACGTGAAGCTGATGTTTACATGTCAGGCAAACAGGGTATGCGACCTATACAGATGGGCACGATTTGGTCAACAAGCAGGGAATTCCAACACAAAACACATTAAAACATAACATCTAACATTCCGTAACATTCGATCATGAATAAATCATGAAATCAGTCCTGATCCTCGAATTTCATCGTCGCAGGCGCCAAAGATTGCTGCGCAGCTGGCGTCGCGAACCTGCTCGAGGCTGTGTGGAGGAAGATTTGCTGCGGGCCTATGACCAGGACACCTGCAGACACCTGCGACCTGGGTACCGAAAATATCGGGAATGATTTTTTGGATTTCACCAACAGAAGATGTGGTTTAATCTGATTCAGCCGGGAAGAATTAACACACCAAAATGAGCATGTAGGCTACTAAAATTACTAAAATATGATTGGAGTTTCCATCCCTCTGATATTGATATTGAATTCCCCTCTAATTCTGCGTGCAGATTTCCAAAATGAATAGATCCACGATCCGGTGATTGGGGAAGGGGATCAGTACGAATTCTCATGCGATATCTCCAAATAATATGGTCACTTCGAAGTGGTACCCTGCTTCCTTGATAGCTTATGATAGCTTGCTATTTGCTTCATGGCCAATTCTTGCAAAGAGGTTTGGAGTCGTTCTCGATGTTCTCTTCAGTAGTTGCGGCTTCTGGGAAACGATGGGTTTGACATTTCTGTTGGGCTTGACCTCAAGATAACATAGATAAACAGAAGCCGTTTGATTTGACGACCCAACTGCTCTACGGATTGGCATTCAGCTGCTACCCATCGGTTCGACCAGGAGCGTTTGGGCAAGACTTGGCTGCTTGGCGTATCCAGAAATTGCTACATTCCGGACATGTCCGAACGGTTTTCCTATAATTCATGGGATAGTGGTAGTTCATACCCCCCATTACCCCCCTAAAACTATCTAAAACTCCCCAGTGAGAACATTGGGTTTTCAACTGGGTTTTCCATCGATGTGTTCCACCGCTGTCGCCCCGAAGCGCCCACAGCCAGGTTCCTTTGTGAGAAAGTCCAGGAGGAGGATCCGAAGCTCGGATTTCATAAATCATCGATGCTAAGATTTGAGAAGATCTATTAGAATCTATGATCATGTAATTATGATATATATATATTATGTTATATTATATTATATTAAATTATATTATATCTATCTATCTACCTACCTACCTATCTATCTATCTATTTATCTATCTATCTATCTACCTACCTATCTACCTATCTATCTATCTAATCTAATCTAATCTAATCTTATCTAATCTTATCTTATCTTATCTAATCTTATCTTATCTTATCTTATCTATCTATCTATCTATCTATCTATCTATCTATCTGTGTGTGTGTGTGAGTGTTATAGTAAATGTGTGAGTTACTCTTGTTAGTCTTGAAGACATCTAAGAATCGGCAAAACTGGAGATCTGCATCCTAGGCACGTTTACGCGGGTTTCCTGCCTTTGCTGATCAAGGTGCAGGGCTCAGGTGATGTGAAAACAGACACCGTAGGCACCCTACAGTTATGGCCCTTTACCAGTTATAAGTACTTATAACCCCATTTATAGAATGTATAATCCCACTTATAACCAGTAACTGATAAATGGCCATAACTGTAGAAATCCAGTGCTTCGCCGACAATCTGTAAGATACTTGCCGTGTGAACCGCCGAAGCCCTGAGGCCTCCAGCTTCTTTGGAGCGATGTTCAGCAGCCGCTGGGCTGATTCCTCTGTGAACGGCTCTGATGTGGCTGTGATTAAGGCGGGCCGGCGGCCACAGTTGGAAAGGTTCAGGTGGCACAATGCAGAACTTGTGGCTTGATAGCGGCAATTGCAAAACATTGCAAAACAAATAAGATAAATGATATTAATGAAATAAATGAAATAAATGAGAAAAGTGAGATTGAGTTGGCAGAATTGTTCCAAATATCCCCCCTTTGGAACCATCCAAGGGCTCACGAAGCGGTGATCAAATCCGTCGATTTTTCTGGTACATGGCCTCACCATGCAGGTTGGCTGGGATGTGTCAACCATGCGTCGATTGATACGTTTCCTGCACGGTGGTCCCAGCTTCATTCGAGACATCCAAGACCTGGATCAGGTGGGGATAGGTGGGGCCTGGGCAGAGGTCATCGATCATCTTGTGCCCTGAGATCACCTGGTTTTTTACATCTTCTGCAGGCCATCCCCTAAGATTTTTGTGAAGCCCTGATTGCAGAATCACGCAGAGTGCCACACGCTATGTGCCGCGTGTAGTTTGTGGAAACATGCAAACTACACGCGGCAGATTGCTCAGGGTTCCTGCAATTTAGTCAACATTCAGATGACATCCCCACTTTATGAATGCCGCAGTCATCGCTGTTTCAGGCGATTCATTGCGCAGACTTCTTTGGGATGCCAGTGCTGTTAGCTCATTGCAACACTTGGATTGTGGAACACCTCGACCGCGACACTGCACCGCGACTCTGGAGCTATGTGGACCCTTGGGCTTTGGGATGCTTAGTAAGCTATTTGGGATGCTTTAGTTTTTGCAGTTTTTTGGGGATCCTGGAGTTCACCCGACGTGGAGTAGCTTAACCATGACTGGCCCTGCCCGAATCTGAAGGAGAGTCAACCAAGACTTCGCATGAATTGGCTGGAGGACAGTTGGGACAGGCATGAAATGGCGAAGACGTGTGTTGCTCGGGTTCCTTGGTGGGTTCAAGGCTGAATTTGTATCAGTTCTATCCGATTTTCTATCCGATTCCAAAGTATGTCAAAGTTGATTTACGGTTGACGCTGTGGGAAATCGGACACAACAGTTTCAGGATGGGGATGGAGCACTGCATGTGGCCAGGACTCCATTTTTCAGGAGGATATGCTGATCACTGCAGACAGCGAATGTGCCTTGAAAGCGGCGCCATGGGGGTTCCTACAAAATCGGGGGCTAAAATCATCCGAAATTGGTGATTATTTAAGATGGGGAAGCCGGAAGCATTTCAACAAGATCAACCCATCACAATTCCACGAGAGATGACATGGACCACTCAGAGTTTCACAGCCGTGCGATGCTGTGGCAGGTTTTGATTTCCATCTCCAAGAGTTTCTGATGATGGTGGATGGCATCCGCGACGGAGAAAGTTGGGTTCCCCTCTACGACTTGACTCCCTCCTTGATGCCTCTTGGATTGAGTCAGGCCGCTGTTCGACACTCACCTCAGGGGTGTTCGCTGTCGATTTCTCCCGACGCTGATGCTCAGTCGTGGTTCAGGTATCGACTTGTGGCTTCTGGCAGCCTTGATGCATCCCTGGCAGCAAGTAGATGCAGCTATCTGTGCCAGTGGGGGTCAGTAGAAATGAATTGAATGTGCTTCAGAATCATTGATCCAAAAGCTCAAGGTTGGATTTGGGACCTTTTGAGAATATCAACCTATATTGTCAAAGCTGAAATCACAAGAATAGCTTAAACATATATCCCAAAATGTCCTTTTTGAGTATCCTAAAAATCATCTTTGATCACCCATGTTATCCCATCGCTGTTCAGCCCTGCGACATCCGTGACATTCGCTGAGGTGAGCACCGCGCTGCTGAAATCCGTGGTGGCCAACTTTGTCCAACAGAAAGTGCCGCCAGCCGAGCAGAAGGCGCGGCACCAGACCACCAAATGGATGGATGGTCATGGAAAATTCGAAAATTTAAGGGTACCACCATGAAGGATTTCCAAATCATCCAGTCATTAGATCATAGATACTGTAGATGCTGTAGATATTGAACGCCATTAAAATGTGATCCCCCAAGTTCAGAAACCCATAGAAATCCTATGTTTTTTGTCTTGTGGGTTTTGATATTCATCAGATATTATGATGGGTATGTTGACAACCATCATGAACCAGCCATTTTGAGATGTCAACATGTGTCAACCATGGTGTTCACATGTCATCCAGGCGATGCTACAGAGGATGATGCCACCTGAAGTGCTGTTCAACAGGCGAGTTGGACCATGGAGCTCTGTATTCATAAAAAACGACCATCGTGTAGATATGTGATATATGTGTTCCATTGCAAATAGATTTTTTTTATAGACGCCGACATCATGTCCATTTACTTATATTATTTCTTATATATATATATTTATTTATTTATTCCATATATTTATTTATTCCATATATCTGTGTTAGTCGAGGTTTGCGCCAGCGGCCTTCAGTCGGATGCTGTTTCCATGTCCCCCACCATGGCCACAGGGAGCTCCGGGATCAAGTCTTGGGTGGCTGCCGATTGGGCGTGCGGGGCTTGATGTGAGCCATGTGGGGCCCCGTGGGGCTGCTGGATTTGATGGCTGAGATGAATAAGATCCTAGGTAGAGGTTTAAGATTTGATTAATCTGCTGATGATGATGATGATGATGATAATGATGAAGCGATTGAGCATATTCCCCAAGGTTTAGGTTTGGAAAAATGGATCTTAGCGTGTGGATCTTTAGTTTGTGTTTGTTTTACGTGCGCATTTGTTGGGAATTTCATGAAGTGTCAATGAATAGCTAAGATGATTCGAAACTGGTAGAGGTTTAACATGCGCCAGATGGTATCTGGGTGTGCGTGCGTAACACTGATGTGGTTGAAATGATGGGTCATGGTAGATTGTTGCATTGGATGTTGGTCTGTAAATTTCTGATTGGATTTTTGATTCTGCGATTGAACACATGTTTTCAGTGAATCAGAGTTGTGTGAAACAGATGAGCTGGATAGTATGCAATTAATCAGGACTGAAAACAGAGACCCATTGGTGCCATGTTCTTGTGCACAAGTTTTACCCATACTGATCTTGGTAAATAACTCATGTTGACCCATTAGTTTGCCTCCATGCTTTTGATCTTCATGAAAGCCAAGAACCCACTGCAGCCCTAGAGATAAACTCTTCGAGCAGATTGAGGTCATAGGTGTCCAAACTGGCAAAGTTATTTTGGCATTTGCTGGTTTTGCCTTTCGAATCATTAAAACTCATGTGGTTGTAAACTTGTTGGTGGCCTTATCTGGACTCCTATCCCAGTTGCACTCCTCTATTTTCCGAATTCGTTTTGGCTGCGACGCGTGAAGCCACGCACTTGTACAGAAATACCGAAGGACATTGACAAAAAAAGTGCCCAGCGACAGGTCCAGTTGATCTCACAACAACTCCAGTTGTGGATACAACCGACAACAATGGGCAATGGGGAGTCAAATTTCACACCCAGGGATATCATATGATACAACCAGTGATAATGTGGGAACAATGTTTGAGTTGAAGCACATCACCAGGTCGTTTCAATTCTCCAGTGAGACAAAGGTGAACATGTCTCTCTTGGAGCGATCCAAGATATCTCATTTTTTCCACAGTTTTTCTGGATGTTCATTTACCATCGAAGAATACTCCAAAAATATCATATGACACTATATAATACTATATATATATATATCATATATATATATGTGTGTATCATATATATATATATATATATCAAATCACCTATATATATATATCATATATATATATGTGTGTGCAAATCACCTATATATATATATCAAATCACCTATATATATATCATATATATATGTGTGTGTGTATCATATTTATATATATATATATATCAAATCACCTATTGAAAGAATATCCCTTCACTATACCTCTGATCCTAAGTGTCGAGGTTGGAACACTGATTTGTGTTTGGCTGTACAGTGAAGAGCCCAATACGCACAGCCCCTGTGGTTCAAACTAAAAAGGTGTGACTCCGCTTCGCATGGTAGCGGAGCTGGTCGTGCTCTAGGGCCACCAGCGACCGCAGGCGGGTAACACCGCAGCGTTGTACTCGGGAAGTACCGCAACCACGTCGTCGAGCAGCGTGAAAGGAGCTGCCGGCAAAACACAGCAAAAAGGAAGGAGGAACAGGAGTGCAGCAGCTGTAGAGAGGAGAACGCTCAAGGGCATTGCGAAACGTTTTGAGCACAACTTGAAAACAGAGAACACCAAAGCCGAGCAAGAAATCCCTTTCTTTGGAAACAACCCAAACCCGGCAAGAGCGTCACAATACTACCAGGCACAAAGCGAAGCTTCGTGTTCAACAAGCGGCCACTCTACCTACGCAACTTTCCTTGCACCTCACGCACGCCTGAAGCGTCCTCTGGAGCCACCCCGTGAAGAAGGTGACAACAGTGTGTACCGTCGTGTGTGGGCAAAGTTTCAAAGAGAACTTCCGTTGGTAGCAGCTGAAGTGGAAAAAACACCAGGAAAGTCTGCAAGGAAGAGTTACCTGTGTGAGGAAGCACGCCGAGCAGTTACTGCAACCCTAGGTCAACAGCGGAAGGAGGAGAGTGACAGTCATAGTGAGACTGAGGGGCTTGAGCCAGACACCGACACAAGTTCCAGGAGACACCAGCCTGGTGCTGTGACACAGTGTGATCAGAAAAGCCGCCCAGCAACAACAAGGTACAGTTCTTCCCGTGCACCGACGACACGGTATAGCTCCACCCAAAGTTCGACAAGCAGCGTCACAACTCGTGTAGAGACTGAGCCACCAACTGTCGGCTACAACTCCGAAGTTAGAACGCCAACGTGGTACCAGCACGACACGACCAGACGCCAGAGAAGCAAGAAGTGAGGGAGAAAACCTATACAAGGCGGGTAACACCGCGTGAGTGCCGACATTCACGTGTACAGGTCCGTCGCAGTGTACAGGTCCGTCGTAGTGTCAGTTTTTCGATTGTACAAAAAGCTGCAAGTCACCGGTTGTTCTTGTGTGATTCTGTTTGTTCCTTGTTTCGTTTGTGGAAACAATGGAGGAGATGATGCAAGCTCTGCAAAACCAAGTCGCACAGTTGAGTAGACAGCAAGATACCCTAAGTCAAGCACTACAAAGAGCTGAGCAAGCGTACGAACAACAAAGCGCAGTGTTGACAGCCACTCGCAACGAGTTGAGCGCGGCCCTAACCACAAAAGCAAGCAGTGCCAGTGTTGAGGACCCAAACCTTGTGGATTCCAGGAACATTCCGAAACCACCTGTGTTTGATGGGAAGCGTGAGACTTGGGAAAGATGGAAGTACGTGTTTGTAGCTTGGAGTTCTACAGTCAATGCGGCTTACCCAGGTTTGTTTGACAAGGCCGAAGCTTCAACGACGCCCATAGAACATGCCACGTTGACAGCAAATGAGGTCCGTTTGAGTAAGGCTTTGTTGACGATCCTTATGGGATATGCGCCGGACTCAGTGATGAGCATGGCCCAACATGCCCCTGAGGGGAATGGTTTGGAGATGTGGCGGAGATTGGTGAAAACACATGAACCAGCATACAAATCCAAATCATGGGTATGGCGGAAGCACTTGACTAACCCAACCTTCCCCACTGAATTGAGTAAATGGAGTGATGCGTTTTACCAATGGGAATCAGAAATCCGGGAGTTTAAGCGACAATTCAAAAAGACTATTGACGAAGACGAAAAGTTGTCTGTTTTGGTTCATGTTGCCCCGAAAGAACTTCAACAGTCAATTTTCATGCATGCAGATTCGTTGGATTCGTACAACAAGGTTCGAACATACATAGAACAGTATTTGAGTGCGCGAAATCTGTGGAAGAGACCCCAAGGAGGACTGTTCGGAAACAGCGCAAGCGCCAAACCGAAGGATGATGCAAATGGACCAGCGCCTATGGAAATTGGAGCCATAAAGGGTAAAGGTAAAGGTCCCAAGGGCAAAGGTAAAGGCAAGGCAGACAAAGGTGACCCAGGTAAAGGCAAAGGCAACCAATGGAACTCGCAATGGCAAGCGCAAGCGTCGCCACAATGGGATTCCAAGTATGGAAGTTACAAAGGCGACAAGGGCAAACACAAGGGCAAACCATCAGAGGATGGCAGCGGCAAAGGAAAGAACAACAAAGGTGAAAAAGGCAAAGGAAAAGGAGGAAACAACCCTCATGCAGGCAAGCAGTGTCACATTTGTAAGAAATATGGTCACATTGCAGCGGATTGTTATTGGAAGGTTTCCGAAGTGCGGGAGGAACCAGAACCGAACCCCAAACCCGAAACTGACGCAATGACAGTAGGATCCGTTAGGGATTATGTGGCCGAACCCGAAACTGACATGATCATGACTGTTCGTGACACGATCGCAGCCATCAAACCTTGTGAAAACAGTGATTTTGCATGGTTCATGGTCGATTCGGGTGCATGTGTGACATGTGCTACTGAGGGAGAATTTGATGTGCCAATTGATGAAACCAAAAAGAAGACACTGTATTCAGTTCAAGGACTAGCTTTGAAGGTGTATGGTGAACAAACCCCCGGCATCGAACTTGATGACGGATTGCGCGGAACCATTCGTGTGACAGTGACGGATGCTAGCGAGAACGTGTTAGCTGTAGATGAACTGTTGAGTAAAGATTGGGAAAAGGTAGTCTTTGGCAAAGCCGGTAGCTATCTGGAGTACAAGAATGGGAGAAAGTATCCTTTGACAAAATTTGGGAAAAGATGGTGGATGCGTGTCAGGAAACGTGACTTGCAAGCATTGAGGAGCCAAGGTGCAGACAACAGAATTGCAGCCAGTTCCGAGGACAGTTGGCGAAGAGACGGTTCGTTGTTAGTTCGAGTGCATTCAAATCCCCGGCGAAATTTGTTTAGCCCTTTGGATTCCAATGATTGTCCTGTAGATCCTTCAGTGCTTGAAAACGGCAGGTTGACACGCATGACATTCGTTGGCGGTGGCGGTGAAGACGTTCTAGAAGACTTTTGGGACACGGAATCAAACGCAAACAGGCGGTTGGCATGGCATTGGGGAGGTGAAACATGTTTCAAATTGAAAGATGATGCGGCAAGCGCGCAGGCAGAACCCGAAGCGCCCGATCCACATGTCCAACATGGCATGGAGCATGCACACTTCATGGAAGAAACCGCTGACAGACCCATCATTCATCCTATGTCATCTCCACCGGAACCATCCCCGCAAGAGCGAGCAGAACACAATGTGCATCATGCTACGTATGCGTCCTGGTGTCCACACTGTGTTGCTGGACAGGGTAGGCAAGCTCCCCACATGCAACGCCACACGGACACACCGGAACACATCGTGTATGCAGATTTCATGTACTTTTCTTCCAAAGGCGAAGAGGTTCAGCCTGGCGACTTGCCAGCGGGGGCAGACGGGGGTGATGTGGTGACAGTTCTTACCGCCATTGACAAGGACTCGCGTTGGCCTTTCGCAGTTGTGATTCCTTCCAAAAAAATTGACGACCCCAACAGTTATGCAGTGAAATCCTTGGAAACTTGGTTGTTAGGCCTTGGTTGGAAACAGTTCACTTTCCAGACAGATCAGGAACCAGCAATCATGAAACTTGCAAACACGGTACGTAAGAAGATGGGACATGACAAAATGCAGGTGCGACAAAGTCCCAGGTACTCTTCTCAGTCCCTCGCTGAAGGAGAAACCGTGAACCAACAAATTGCAGGTAGAGTTCGGACATGGGTGAGTGTTTTGTCTGAGCAGTACCAGGTGGACATACGCAACACACATCGTTTGTTTCCATGGATTGTGCGACATGTTGCATGGGCAATGGCGCGGCTGCACGTCAACACGAGTAGGACCACGCCATTTCGGATCATCAAGGGACATGATTTTTTTGGTGAATTGCTTGCGTTCGGTGAGTGTGTGTTGGCCAAGTGGCCAAACATGAAGGATTTAGCTAAGGGTGTGCCACGGTGGGTGCATGGTGTCTTCGTCGGCAAAGCTGAGGGATCGGATGAGCATATTGTCTTGACACCTGTTGGGGCACAAACCTTCCGGACAGTGCGTCGGTTGCCAGAGTCCAGCCGACACAGCCTTCATTCTTTGGAGTCTGTTGCGGGTTTACCATGGGACACTAAGGACGGTAGCTCCAAAGTACAGCCAGCGATAGTGGTAAGCAAACCCGGTGTAGAGTTCGTACCTGTGCTACCCCCTGTACTTGCACACGCGCCAGCGGCCCCAAGCGCGGACGCGAAACAAGCCGTGCAAGACGAAGACGCGCTCGCCTTACGTGCGCCCAAGAAACCAAAACTGCAAGCAGACAACCTCTCAGATGCGCGGATGTCGGACGAGCCACAACAGTTCAACATCGCCACACCACGCGACAGTAACCAAAGCCCCGCGTCATCCATCGCCCACTGCCCTTCCAGCGCGTATGACCCTTCGGTTAGGAGTAGGTCTCCCCCGCGGGAATTGCCAGATGAGGCGGGTAATGCCGCACCAAGCCAGGTTCCAGGCGCAGGGGGGATGGAGGTTGAAACCGGGATGGGCAGCATTTCAGCAATATCGGATGAGTTGTTGGCAAAATTTGTGGAAGGTGACGAAACCGCATGTGAAAACACAATTGCAGACGTAGTAGGGTTTTTGGACACATGCCTGACCCCGGAAGAACGACACATGGCACGATTGCGGGAAATTAAGAAATTGGAAGATGTGTTCAGAGCATTCACACCCCGGGACGCAAGAGCATTGCCTCCAAACATTCGTGTTTTCAACCATGTTTGGGTAGACAAAAAGAGTGGCGGCATGGCAAAAAGTAGGCTGACCTGTGCTGACGTGAAACAGAAACTCACTCCAGAACAACGGTTGAGTTCAGAAGGCCAATCCAATTTTTGCCCAACTCCACACCCAGCGTCGTTGAAAATTTTGGAGGTGTATTCTCTCTTGAACAGATTCCCACGTGCAAAGGCTGATCTCACCAGTGCTTTTCTCATTGCTCGTGACAGCGGCGATGACCAAGGGCAGCCCACATGTTTGAGACCACCACAGGAATGGTTGAATGACTATGACACTTGGCTGCTCAAGCAAGACCCGCAGGTGCAACAGGACTTGGCAAACGTTCCAAAACAACACATCGTTTGGCAGGTGGACGGAAACATTTACGGCAGACAGCCAGCAGCGGCAGCATACCGACAGGAACTTGAGAACATTCTGTTGCGCAAACTTGACAGTGCAAAGTACAAGTTTCAGAGAGGCAAGGTTGACGCATGTGTGTACCGTTGCAAGCTGTCAGGAGTCATTTTGATCCATCACATTGATGATTTCGATGTTTGTGGTCCAGCTGAGGCAGTCAAGGATTTGTTGGAAGTCCAACTCCCAAAGTTCGGATGTAAACTCAAGGTAGGGGACCTAGAAGGTGTAGCAGGTGAACCAGGAACGTCGTCCGAGTACCTGGGTAGAGAAAAGTACACAATCGATGACTGTGTTGTGACCAAACCGAATGACAAACACGTGCAAAACATTTTGGGGAAGCTTGGAATGGAAGACGCGAAACCTGCAGTGTTGCCAGGACGAAAGCTTGACCTTAGTAGTGCCGGTAACATGGAACTCTTGTCTGACAAAGAAAAGGAGAACTATGCATCATGCGTAGGGTCCGGTATTTATTTGAGTCAAGATCGAGCGGATGTGAAATTTGCCGTAAAAGAACTTGCGCGTCGATTGCATGCCCCAAGGCGTTGTGATTTTCAAAACTTGAAAGTGTTTGCAAGGTATTTGGTCGGGACAAAGAATTACGGACATGTCAGTAAACTTGTTCAGGATCTGGACCCTGAGGAGGCTTTACCATTACATGCATACACAGATAGTGACTGGGCCGGATGTGAAGAAACGCGCAAACCCAGCTCAGGAGAAGTGATCGTTTTGGCAGGCACAGTTGTGGAAACAGGCAGCACCACTCAACCAGGTGTGCCAGCAACTAGCTCAGGTGAAGCTGAAATTCGTTCTTTGACCCACTGTGCGCAAAGTTCGGTGTATGTTAGAAATCTAGCCTGTGAAGACTTTGGACTGAAAGTGGACACTCCCAGGGTTTGGTGCGATTCCTCCGCTGCGTTGCAGGCTGCCAAACGCATTGGCATGGGTAAGATGAGACATGTTGCCGTAGGACACATGTACATACAAGAACTTGTGCAAACCAAGCAAGTAATCATTGGTAAGGTTGACGGTGTAGCAAATCCTGCCAACACTTTGACAAAACATTTGGCAACGTCGGGTGAAATGTTGGCTTCTTTGGACGGACTGGGTATCATTGATTTGACTGACAAAGGATTTGACGAACATGTGCGTCGTACCAAGTTGAAGGTTGTTTCAAGTGTTTCTTTCAAGGAGTGGAAACCACTGATGGCATCAACTACAAGTTTAAGAGAACACAATGGCGCAATCTTACGAAGACGCAGGGTTTTGCCTGGACAACGGCGGGAAACACCGCAGTAGAATTCAAATCGCAGAGTACGTCACATGAAACTGTGTCGTGTCATGAGCTTAGATTCGGACTCCGTAGTTGGAAGCTTAGCTCTGTAGTGTTCAGAGAGACTTTGGCGTCGTGACAGTAAACTTCCTTTTCGGTAAACGGTTGGAAAAACTGAGAGGGTTGTGTAACTGTGGAACTGTGAGGAAACTAGTTTGCAAGACCACGGGCAGACCACACAGGCAAGGCAACAAGCATTGCAACTGAAACTGCACAGCCGCTTCGAAGGGATTTGGTTGTTGTTGTTTCTGTGGTTAAAGAAAAAAGAGTTGGTGACACACTCTGATGCAAAGCATCATTGGCAGCAGTCTACCAGCAAATCTAGTGCTCCAAAGGGGGGTGAAAGAATATCCCTTCACTATACCTCTGATCCTAAGTGTCGAGGTTGGAACACTGATTTGTGTTTGGTTGTACAGTGAAGAGCCCAATACGCACAGCCCCTGTGGTTCAAACTAAAAAGGTGTGACTCCGCTTCGCACCTATATATATAATATATATATATATCATATATATATATATCATATATATATCATATATATATCATATATATATATCATATATATATATATCAAAAAATATATATATCATATGCGAGTAGAGTGTAGGCTACGTACCATTGTGCATTCACATACAATTTAACACTCTAAGATCCATTGCCAAAGGGGTATATCAAAATCGCCCCTTTGGCTCAAGACCCACTGCAGTACCGGAAAAGGGCAAAGCCATGCGGAAGCCGCTGTCCATGCGTCGTCACCTTTGAAGAGAACCACTTCAAGAACCAACATCAATACATAATCGGAGAGCTAACCTCTGATTCACAGGTTATCAGCCGTAGGACTCCTACGGAGCCTACGAGCGGGTAGCCGCGGGCCTTACAGATGACTGAACAGGATAGCAGCGATAATGCATTTTCTTTCTCTGGACATGCCGTTGCACCAGCTGCCGGCACGCAGTCAAATTCTTCACAGAGTATCGACACTGGTGGAAGCGATGCCTCAGAATTGAGAACAAGCCTACCCAGGCGACCTCTGGTTGCTCCTAGAGGGAGACAAATTTCGACAATGCAAGCAATTGAAGATAGGGACAGCACACCTGGAAAGAGAAGATCATCTGCACGACAATTGTCGCCTCCGATGACTCCAAGGACCAAGGCAAAGACTACGTCGTCGAATCCGCCTTCACCGATTCAGGACGCTACTCCATCAGGGACAGGATCTTATCAGCAAGTGAACGCCCCATCGAGTGGTAGCGACATCTTCACTGCCTATCAGAGTGAATTAGCTGAATACAAGACATCACTGGAAAAGGCCACTGAAGAAGAATCCGTACTTCAGGCAAGATTGACCGAGACGACAGCTTATGCCTATCAACAATTTAATTTCCTGGAAAGCACCACTCATCAAGAGATGATGTCGATGACCGAACAACTCCAGATGCTGAACTTCGAGTTACAGGCTGCACAACAAGAAGATGAAGGTGCGACCTACAGGATCGAAGCGTTGGAAAGGTATCAGACTATGTCGAATGAAGCTGCATCTCATTTGGAATTCAAATATACACGACTACGTTCGGAATTCGATGAACAAATGGGACAAGCGAGCGCAATTATGGTACATGTGGGCGCTGATGCAAATGCTCACATCCATCAACTTAGACTGGAACTGGAAAACGCGGAGATGAATGCCAAGCAGGAAGCTCTAGCGGTCGGCTACGCCAATGATCAAACATGTGCTTTACAGATCGAGATGCTCGAGATTGCCAATCAAAATCAGACAATGAAGCACACCATGTCTATGAACGTTAGGCGACTGGAAACCGAGCTTGATGCTGCTGACATGAAGAGGGACGAGATCATGAAGGAGTTCCGTAGTAACATAAGATCTGAACATGACCGTTATGCAGAATGTGAACATCACTTAGCTTTGGAAGAATCGCAACTTCAATTGCAGGTGATCCACAATGAAAACTTACAATCTCGACTAGCGATTTCTGAGAACAGGGTTTCTGAAGAATCTCTAGCTGAATCAGGCGGCATGCGGGACATGAGGATAATGGGACTACGTTCTGAACTACACATGAAACAAAGTCTTTTAGATCGAATGCAACAACATTCCCCCAGTCTTAAAATAGGAATCCAGGGGGGGACGTAGGTACCGAAATTCCTTTTTAAATTCCTTTTTTTTTGCCTGACGTATCCTGGCGTAGTGTGAGGAAAGGTTTCCAAACAACTTGGACAGATCAACCTTTGGCCATTTCAGCCAAGCCGTTGGAAGACTTGCCAGCAATTTGTTGGACAATGTTGGACAATTTACAGTATTTTTCCTGTATACAGTAATATACTGTATATATATATAATTTGTAATTATATATATATATATATTCTTTACATATGTATGGGTATATGGGTACAATTTAAACTCGCAAATGCATAGCTGAATATAGCTGATACCTAGTGACTCTTGGATGCCATGGCTGGGTGCCACATGTGCCAGCGCCAACTTCACATCGGAGGAGAGGGCCTGGGGTCAATATTTTCATTGTTTTGATATGTTTTTGACACCCGGTGCAGAGTCCGGTCACCCGGTCCGGTTTGGGTGGTGTACTCCACCTTGGAGAACGATCAACTCAAGAATCGATATCTGCTTACTGTGCACTTCACTACTGTACATATCTCCTGTCAACTCACTCATCGGCCGCACGAAGGAACAAAGAGCCCTTGCGTGACGGCGCGACGGAGATGCAGAACTGTACCTCACCTGGAGGGATTGGAACACAGGGCTTTGGGTTGATGAGATAGAAGTCACTGTTCGTAGATTGAACCGCGCTTGAGTTGGATTAGACAAAGCACCTGATTCTGACTTCGAATTTAGCAGGATATGCTATGATATGCAGGTTCCCGCAGCAATGTCCGTGTATGTTCTTGCATGTTTGAGTGATCGCAGTGCCAAATGATGCGGCACAATATAGTTTTGTGTTGAGATTGTTTGAGTATACTTAGGCCTTTGTGCATATCGCATCACCCCGAAGGCGCTCTGTGTGTGGGTAGATTAGTTTGGGTGTGTTAGTGCGTTCACTTTCACCAAGATTTCAAGCTATCCGAATGTATTTGATCTGTTCAACTACACGACTTCAACACATGCGCCCTGGCAGGCGGGTGGAGGCGTGCACGTCTTGAACACGCAGCAGATCAACGAGCATCCCTGGCCTTTGAATGCTCGAGCGCCTTGGCAACGAAGGCTATGGGCGTTATGGACTACCCATGACTACCCCTTCTTTACTGTGGCTAGCTGAGAATTCGGAACTTTTAATTGGACAATATATGGGTTATAGTGATCATAAGTTACAATATGTTACAATAATCCACACATGGGTGACATTTTTCTACTGCTGCAATCATTGTGTAAAATGAAGTCATCTTGGAGTGATGTGCATCTGAGTCACAAGTTAATCTAGAATTACGGGCAGGTTGTTAAATGTTAGCAACATCATCCCATCATATCCATTTACAGCAGACCCGTTTGTTCTATGGATTTGTCTAAAAATAGGGTACCGGAAATCTGCTGCTTTATCATCATTTTCCCCGTAAAATAGCCATTTGGGGGGTCATGGGGGTTCCCTTTTATCAGACACACCCTTTATCCCAGAATTTGAGATATTAGTATGTATTAGTTGGTTGGTTAGTTCTCCCACAAGGCTTAACTCCCATTCTCATATATCCCATGTAAAAATCAATAGAAATAAATATAAATAAATATATATATATACATATAATAGTATATAATTGTATTATATATATATATATACATCTATATATATATATAGTCCTCAACATCATTAGGTCCCTACCCGGGATTTCCTCCACGGTCCCAGACGGTGGCCAACCTGGGATGGCAAACCTTTGCGGCCTTTGGCTCGCACCTGCGGGCCCGCCAGCGAAGCGCAGGAGCAGTGAGGTTATTAGTTTTTTAATAACCATGATAATGACATATAAGAACATATAACATAAGATAGTGTACCCAAAAAATCCATAACATAATTATCATAGCGGTATCCAATTTTTTGGATGTCCAAATCGTCGTTGTCCAATGGTTATCCAATGGTTGCCCAATGGCCCTGTGGTCCGAGACCATGAAACCCAGGAGAAAAAAGGTTGGGCAGCCAACAAGACTGTGGCGCCGGCTTGGAGCTCAAGGATGATGCGGTGTGGGAAATATTTCTGTTCTCTCCTCTTCAACTACCGAAAACATCCGAAAACTCCGTGCCTGTTTCAGGTTGTTTCATGTTGTTTCCATGGTTTGGTGCTCTGGCGGAGTCATTTTCCATCAGTTGGGTCTGCGAGGCTTGGATGCTGAAAGATGGGGACTGTGCCAGGAGCCCCCAGGATCAGTTGACGGCTGCGCTGAGTAGGATAGGGGGTTGCTAGAGATGCTAGAGATTGTAATTGGTTTTGACTAATCATGGTCAATGGCACAGGGTAATAATATGTAATAATGATCAATAGTTAATGCAAGGAAATCATTTACCAATTACTTTACTTCGTGTGATCCCACCATGACATTTATATGCTTTGTTACTGGCAAATCTTCTGGCATTCTATCTGACATATCTTCTGGCATTCGATCTGGCATTCTATCTGGCATCTCTTCTGGCATATGTTCTGGCATATCTTCTGGAATTCTATCTGGCATATCTTCTGGCATATCTTCTGACATCCTATCTGGCAAATCTTCTGGCATTCTATCTAGCAAACATTCTGGCACTTTATTTGGCATACCTTCTGGCACTTTATCTGGCATACCTGCTGGCATTCTATCTGGCAAATCTTCTAACATTCTATCTGGCATTCTATCTGGCATATCTCATGGCATTTTATCTGGCATATCTTCTGGCATTCTATCTGGCATTCTATCTGGCATATCTTCCGGCATTCTATCTGGCTGTTGAGGTCCAGCAGTGCACACTGAGC